GGGATCTTATGAAATGCCAACTTAGCCTACAGTAGACACTTAAGAATTAAGGTAGGGACTCCGGTTGGCACTGAAAAGCACCTTTAGAAAATGTAGTCTTAAAAATGATCATCAACGTACCAGAAACTAACAAGCTTCAAAAGCACGTACGTTACCACTTTTACTAACCAGCATCGGACTACATTAACGCAGAACGCGCAAGATACTACAACTGTCAGTTAAACTGAACACCAGGGCACGCATCTGCTCTCAGAAAGTTTTTTTAAATGGACAGAAACATTATCCATGTGTGCAGAGAGTGAGTGGGAATAGAAAAAGAGAGAAGTGGAGATTTTTTTTGTCTCCGTTGTCTCTTGTATTTCAAACATGGACATCTCTGAGGCAGCTCTACTGCATGGGACGTGAACTATTTCATTGGTAAACTGCCTAATTCTAAAGAGGGCTAACTAGTTTTTACAAATGAGTATAGCTGCTTTATTATTTTTTTTAAGAAACAAATTTTTCCTTCAGCAACCAGCTATGGTTTTAAGTAGGTGAGGCTTTACATCTTTTATAGGAATAATGTCTTAAATTAGGAATAACTTATAAAAATTCGTCTCCTATCATCGTAAGTTGGCAAACTTTATCAGAACCCAGCCACCATATTTGTTTGTGTGTCGTCTATGGCAGCTTTTGCGCTGGCAGAACTGGGCGTTTGCAAACAGATTGTGGGGCCTTTTAAGAAAAGGTTTGCTGACCCTTGGCTTAAAATCTAATGACTAAGCATAAGCATCGACATCCATGTAGTTAGATGGGAACTAATATCTCCAGAAACGTTAGAAGTTTTAGATTCTTTGAAGCACGATCTTTTCTTAGGACTCTTACAAATGACGGCACCAAGTTATTAGTGCGAGGTCGAGGGGGAGGGGCGGTGTTGAGTGGAGTTGCCTCAGAAGAGGGAACTCCCAGATTGTATTTTTCACATGTCTTCTCTGGGACTACCTACAGGACAAAAGTTGTCAAATTTAAATTCGAGGCTGATTTTGAGGAATTCTATTCCTGGTTTTTAAAAACGATTTTTGGGGGGCACTAAATCCTTTATTATAACTTAAGATGTGTTAAGGCCACATCCAGCGGAGACTTTCACCCCTTGTGCATACTTACAAATCAGCATTATATTCTAAACCTCGGCAACACTCATGGTGTCTACTGAACACCTGTGTGTGATCCTGTCTTTAAAATACAAGTTCTGTTGGAACACCTCCTCTTAACTGCAGCATAGAACACACAGATTTAAGACACTTCACACCACGTTATCTTCGCTCAGGCTGGGAGTCGGGCTCGCTCACTGTTTTAAATGAATATCCTAGGTTGATCCTAACAGGTCACCTTTGTGTACTGACTTACCTCATAGCGCCAGAGAAAGGGAGATTTAGAAAATAAAACTATAGGAACAGGGTAATGGGCAAACGGTAATTCTAAACGAGAAAGAGATTTGTTAAAAGAAAAAAGAAAAGAAAAGTAAAGCCTAGTGAGCCTCCTTGCTTCGGAAATTTGGACGCGGCAGAGAGAATGTCATGTGGCAAATTGCTGTAATCGCAACCAGCCACTCGCTCCGTGTCTTCTGACAGCGCAGCCTCATTTAGATTTCCGCGTGTGCCGCCAGTCTTGTCTTTTTCCTTCTCGTACTGAAGGCTTCGCCCCCAAGTTCTAAGCATGCCCTGTGGCGGCTGCGGAAGGCCCTGCCCTTCACTTACTCATGCACTTGTACGTCTACTGTTTGTGACCGTTCTCCGGTCGTATAAGTAGCAGGGTTAGTAATCAGGGTTAGTTTTACTTGTATCTTATTTTCATTCAAGATGGATGTGAAACTTACTGGCATACCTAGGCTGCAGCCCCATGCAAGCAAGCAAAAAGCAAAATATTGAAAATGGAAGATAAACTGGCTGGCAGGCATCTAAACTCACCCTTTTGTACAGCCTATGGTCCACCAGGGGGCTTTAGACAGTAAAACAACACCAAAGAGCTATTAGCATGTGAGGGTCACAACAGAAATATTGTCAATAGCTTTATTTCAACAGAGAATATAAAGTGGCTCCTTTTATGGAAAGGAAGAAGTGGTGGGGGCACGTGAAATGAGCAGGTAGAAAACGCATCGATTTATTCTTAAGTCTAAAAATGTTGGGGACCATGTGACAGCAAATTCTCAAGAAATGGGACACCTCTTATTGATTCCTGAAGCCACTATCTACCTACTTTTTGCTAAGAGGGGGTCAGGTGCGGTTTCCTATTTTAATGCTTCTAAGGGGCAACCCGCATAATTTCTCTTAATATTCGGTAACCCAGAACGAAAACAGGATTATACTCCGCCTAGGGAAAACACGAGTTAACATATCCAGGATAGGTTTTCAGGATTTCTCTAAATTCCTTCGTCAAATACATAGGAACGGGCAGTCAACAGCGATCTCGCGCAGTCAGTGTAAAAAGGATATTAAAATTTGCCTGCACGTTTTTCTACAATCTGACCTATAAAAAAGCAAGTAACAAAAGGAGGTTTTAAACAAAAGTAGGGTCTTTATTTCATCCTAAATAATGAATGGAAATTCAGAGTCCGTTTTCTGATGCTCTCTTCATAACACACTTCCTTGTTAGCCTTACGAGGTTATCACCAGTTAGAACATGAACCTAGAAAAGGTAAAATCATCATGAAAAGCTTCCCTACCAGTTTCTAGAAAGAGAACTCTGAACACACGAATGAAAGGTTTCCTTTGTTCGGCCCACGTTGGGGAGCAGCCTTTTATACATTTATATTTTAAGTATCTTTTGGGGTGGGGCGGGAGCGGGCACATTCAGAGCAGAGCAGGTATATGTCATTGAAAACAACGAGATCAAGTCTTAAGGTTGCCCAGACTGCGTCTGTACCTAACACTTTCTGTTGCTTTCCAGTGGTCCACTTCTACTGTTAATCTGTCTTTACGTAGATCATACTAAGAAGTTAGGCTGCTGTGAGGCAGAGACTATGTCTCAGTCATCTCTGCTTAACTGCGGTTTCTTTGTTTCTAAAACGGGAACAACAATTTATACCTAAAACAGTTGTTATGCGAACTGGCGAGACAGTTTCCAAGCATGATGCTTGCAACGCGGTAGTTCTTTTTTCAAACTTTGTTTAAATATCTGACCCTCTCAACTCACCTATTGGAAACATGGGGCCTGCCTTGGGCCAAATAAAAGAAAGAAAAAAAAAAAAGACAGACAGAAAACGGGCGTGGCACTCTATGAAATTTTGCTCATGTTCGCTAAGATTGCATCACCTATCCAGATTTTTGGAGCTTAAGGATAAGACTAAAAAAAACAAGGAAAATGTAACTTGTGAACAGTTTGGTTTGTCTGAAGTGGCCTAAAGTGAAATGTAAAGGTAATTTTCTTGAAAATAAAAGCTGTCAGGTGAGTATTAAGCACAGTCTCAACAGCGCTGGCGCTAACCTTCCTGGGCTTTCTTTCGTCTGGCAGGTGAGAGAGTAAAAGGGAAGAAGGGGCGGTGAGCACGTGAGGACATGAACGGGGCCCAGGTAAGTCCTACTCCATCGGATGCAAGGACTGGCGTGCCACGTCACAGGTGTGACTGAGTGATGGAGGAAAGAGACTGGCTCGGTAGGCTTGTGGAATTAATTTCACTATGTCGTGGCCACACCCCATGTTTTGATTTGTGTTTCCTAAAGACTTCCTGCTTCAGGGCAGTGACCCGGGTACCGCACAGGCTGGCCAATCAGGGGGGGACCCGCCAGTCACTGCCTGGCAGAGGGCAGGCGGGTAGCTGAGGCATCCGCTTCTTTCCCAGCATCCTAGAGAATACCGAGCGTACCCTAAGGAAAGGTTTTACTATTGTTCACGTGTGTGGCTCCCTGCATCGTCCCTTGTGTCATGTAAATGATCCTTTGGTTAATTTCCTAAAAGCACAAGTGCCCAGTTAGCCCCTATTCGGTCTCAAAGTCAAAATATTTTCCGAGTTAGCGAGTAGATGGTTTTAGGGATAAGAAAAACTCAAGCAAAACGAAGCCTCTGAATGCGTGTGAACACTCGGGCTTTGGCGCCATCGGACAGGAAGAGGAAACGACATTACGGGGTGCCCATGAAGGGGGTCTGGGAGCTACAACCTGGCCGATGCCCGGAGGAAGTACAGGACCACGGGATGTCATCGCGGCCAGTTCCCACGGCCACTTACAGACCCAGACTGGACTGAGAGCCTAAAGAAACAAAACGCTCATCACCAGCCCCCAAAATCTAAGGAGAGGACCCCGTCTCCTTCACAAAGAGAGCTCTGATTTGAGGAAACCCCTGCAGCTTAGCTCCCCGGGAAGGTCGCGTGTCTCCGCGGAGGGCGGGGTCTCAGCGACCCGTGTTCTCCTAACTGCAGATGCGCCTCTCATGTCAGGTGCGCCCTTCCCTGCGGTTTCACTGCCAGAACTTCTGCTCCTCGGCCGGGACTAGCTTTATTAGTTTAACGCGGCCTGTGGGCCACTCCGTGTCCAGCAGAGGGCAGCAGCTATTCAGTAGAAATTCTACAGCAGGAACTCGGATGGAATTAGTGGCTTTCTACCCTTTCCTGGGGAATAGAAACTGTTTATTTTCTGTCTGGACACACATTAGCACAGTCAGGGGTTAGTGTGCGGAACGTGCTGCAACACGGCACAGAAATAACACGCTAAAGGGGCACGTGGGACGAAAAGCTTGTCCGCGTTAAGCTGTCCTTGCGCTGAACTGAAACAGAGAAACGCTGGCGTGACTGTCCACCGTCCACCGTGTGCGCATGGTCTGGAACGGCTACGAACCTTCCCGCGGCAGCAATCGGTCCCTAGTTAGCGGGCCGTACTGTCCTGTGGCAGTGTGGGAGGATTCTTTTGATTACTTGGAGGGGAGGGGGCGGGGTGGTGGCTCTACGTCGGAGTTAATGAGTGGTTCAGGGGAGCAGGGTTGTTTTATTAGTCGTGATGAGTAAAATGTATAGACGAGGGCTAATGTACCTGTGACGACAGCGTCGGAGAAACCTCATTATTTTTCGAGCAGCTTGGTCCTGCTTTTTGGTTAGCAAACTGCTCCTGGAAAAGCCAGAGTATTAATTAATGAATGTCACGGGGAGGGCGCTGTAAAACTTGATATGCAAAAGTTGACAATGAGTCAGTAGGGATACAGGACTTTCAATGAAACGGTTCGCACAAGCGTATGCTGCTTTCCGGCCCTGCATCTGAGCATCGCTGGGAGAAGGGGGTGGGGCTGCGGGAACACTTCCGACCAGCTCTAAGGGCGACGACGTAAAAATGGAAAATCAGATGTCACTTGGCGACTCTCGATACGATCGCTTTGCTGAAAGAGGCCTCCTGGCATTCGATGCGCTTTCTCAGTTTAGACGTGGCCCTGCCTGACTCTGACCCTCTGGGCTACTGTTTTCTCAGCTGCCTGTGCCAGCAGAGTCCACGGTGCGAAACATTTTTCTTACACTCTCTCAAGCGGACTCGCTTCACTCTACCTTTCCAAGTCCTTACGTGTAGTGACGCCTCCTTTTAGACTACTATGACAGAGTGCCACCGTCCTGAGCGGAAACTTGGGTCCTGACAAATTCTGATATAAGTTGAAAATGGGCCAGTGACATCGAAATCGTTGGGCGGGAGGGGGACGGAGAACGAGCTCAACAGACAAAACGAGACGACTCGCAGACAGAACTATACGACGTCGCGATGTCTAGCATGGTCTGGATAGGAAATGGGTGCAAAATTCTTTAGTCCCTGCGCAGACCCTGACGCCGGCACAGGGCCATCCTGGCAACTAAGTCGGGGTTCTCTTCCCCGAACAGCTTTCGCTCCGCGACACCTCCTCAGCTCACCTGAGTTTCTGCTGGACGATCACAGCCGTCCGGCGAGCCTGCCGTCGCTTGCCGCATTTCTTATAGCTCCGGTAATACTTCTGGATCAGCACAGCCGCACGCCGGCTCTGCTGGAATTTCTTCTGTTCGTAGTAACTTCGGAATTTGCTCTGGATGAGGATGGCAGCCTGTGTCATCTTTTTATAAAGTGCATACTGCAGGGGAAACAAGAAGAAGCAAAACCAGTAACAACGGGAGCCGCTCGAGTTTTGTGTTCTCTGAGCTCATCAGGGGAGGAAAGAAGAGAAATGACGTTTTCCCCTTTATTACCAGATTATCTCTGTTTTGGGTTTAATCGCCAAAGAGGCAAACTGAGAATCATTACACGTACCTTTGTGAAATGCAAAATATTACTTTAAGGATCACCTTCAGATCAAGTATTGCTTAAATTATTTGGGAAAAATGCTTTCTCCCCAAAACATCAAAATATATTGCCCTTCTTGAAAACAAAAATTAATAGCAAGCCACTTAGACACTTAGGAATCTTAAAAACTTACATAGAAAAATGTAAAAGTGTAAGGTTAATATTCACTATCCAATTTGGAAGCATTCTTAGTTAACCTTCTGCGGGCCTCCCGTGCTCCCCACCCCCACAAGCGTACTCAGCAGTCAGCATCCAGTTCCTAACCATCATTTCATGTAAGAAATTTCTGAGTTACAAGGTCCCAAATACAAGGCTTATCATGAAACGCTGACACCTTTGAGCCATTTTAACCTGCAAAAGGTTGACACTCATAGGACTAACACGGGGGTGAAGCCACGAATCCCAGAAAGTCATCGTGGAACCGGGGACCGCTCAGGGGCCAGGGTGGGCGGCCCCCCGACCCAGCCTGCAGCAGAGCTGCCAAGATGAAGGGTGAGGGCACGTGAGAAGGCTGCTCTGCCATTTGTCTCTACGCACTAAAAATACAGAGCTCTCCATATTTAAAAAATGCTATTCCAAACTGCTCAGGACACAGAATATGACCCTGGGGACAACCAAGCCCTCTGCTTTCAAGAAGGTGACTTACCAGCATGGGGAAAAACAGTCCTCAGAACAGCCCTGCGCCCAAGTACACCACTGCGTGTATGAGGCGGGATGGGAAGAAACTGACTTCTTAGAATGTTCTAGACACAAGAGCCTTCTGCAAGGATCTTGTTCCTCTCATCTGACCTGCTTTACATTTCCATCTGCGATATCCTACAGAGCTTCTGCGGTTTTCAACAGCGCGGCCTATGCGTACCGCACACACAGAGCCTGCTGGGCCCGGAGCACACCGGGGGAAGGTGACTTACTCAGCAGCTCACTGGGCTCGCGGGAACTGGCTTGGATGGATTCTTTAGATTGACGTTGGCCAAGAAAACGTCCAATCATCATTGCTGTCAAAACATACTACTCCAACTGAACAACTACACGGTCCCCGGAGGGAGATGCACTGTGGTTAGTGGCCTGGCAAGGGGAGTATGCCTATTTCATGACCCTGCCAACCGAAGGGCCCTTCTTGTAGCTGGTGATGGGTGTGGAGTTTGTGACTCTGGTGGAATGGTTTGTGAGAGGGCTTGGGTATATCATTACCTTCAAGGCTATCCATGTCAGCTTGGGGGAGAAACAGAAAATACAAGATTAATGTTAGATTGCTGAATAGAATGAAATTAAAAACCAGAACCGATAAAACGCCCACCACCACCAACAAAAAAAGGCAGCCTGGCTGTATCAACGCCTTCCGTCTTCCAAAATATCTGCCTCACATTTGTCAATATTTCAAAAAGGAACGCCTTCCGTCTCACTGGATGTAGGCAACACGTCTTTGGGAGGGGATTAAAAAGACCCTCACATTTTGGAATAAACACCTGCTGTAATCGCGGACGCGAAACTCTGATTCTGTGCATCACTTGCGCTAACACGCGGCCTGCCTGCCACACGGGGACCGGAGAGCGAGGCCGCGCCCCCTCCCGCCTTGGTTACAGGGACCGTGGTGTCAGCGTTTACACAATAAACCTTCATTTTCTGGGATCGTGAACTCAACTGGCCATAAGATGAAGGTAGCCCTGCCCCGCCCCGCCCCACTCACGGATAGGGCTGAATCCCAGAGAAATGAGAAATCAAAGCCCTAGACCAGCAAAGAGGCCACAGCCCCGAATCTCTATGTGGCTAGTGTACGTCTTAGCATTTATTATTCCTGAAATGAAAAGATAAAACCTACCTAAAGCGCAACCTAATAAAAGGTTCCAGAATTTACTGACAGGACTGGACTTTATCATACGAGCCATATGAAACTCAGTTAGGCAATGTTTTATACTTTCTAACCACCTACGTTAGAAAGGTCTCATTAATATGTTCTTAATTTCTCTGAGCCTCAACTTCTTCAACTGTAAAATGGAAATCAAATCGTTGACTCCAAATAACGGTAAGGGCCGAATGTGGTGATGTGCCTGAAAGAGCTGAGACATACAGGGACGTACAGGTCCGGACATACAGGGACATACAGGTCCCCCATGCTAGTTACTTAACCCTGCAGGCTGTTTCCGGCAGAGGAAGACTGCAGGAAAGGGTACTTAGATATTCTCGCATCTGTGAAGGAGGGAATGCAAAAGCAGCCTCAGCTTTCCAAAGATCGTGACACTCACTCACTCTAAGATGGATATAAAGAAGGCTAAAGCAAAATGGCTAAAAGTGCTATCGTCTAGTTGCTCCGGAGTTTCATGCGTGTCAAGGCCCTCGCTTCACACGCCAACGACCTCCTTTGTATCAGCCCAGAATCTCAGGCAGGTGGTAACAGAAAGGCCAAAACCTTGAAGGAAAATTATTTTGTGGCATCGGTCTAGTTGCGGATTTTTCTTTTACCCCCTGGCACGTGTCCCTCTGGTTTCTAATGGAGGCGATTCGGAGCCGGCCCTTGAACCGAGCAGAGAGCAGTGCTCTTTGGCCAAACCGCACGTTAGGCTTTCGGGGGCCTCGTGCGTGCTGGGCGAGGTGCACCGCCCCCTGGGACCCGAGCCTGGTTTACCTGCTTGTATTTTCGGTAACAGCGCTGAATGACGGCGGCAGCCACTTCCTGCTGTTCTCGCAACGGTCGGCCCTGAAAGGTAAAGGAAAAATATTTTTCAATAATTTAGTATAAGGAAATGTCGACTTTCCTAGGACTTACGTAGAATTATCGCTCATTTCATTAACTTTGTTGGAACTGAGAGCCTGGGTTTAACAAAATACAGTGATAATTTTAAGTATAAATTAAAAAAAAATGAATTTACAGAATAAATCTCCAACTACTCTTGCTAAGCAGAACCGTGATATTGAGATGTTAGGAGGCCTCGAAACACTTCCATTCGTAAAGTATTTAACAAATCGGGTATTTGTCCTTATAAACTGCCAGATCTCCACTGTCCTTTCCCAAGATAACGTGAGGCCTCTACTCTCGGACGAATGAGCCATGGCTTTTAATGCCGGCTTAGGGCGGCGATTCATTTGAGAGCCTGGGGAAGACTAGGACCCTCTCCCACCTAAACTGCACATACAGCTGCTTTACCCTAAAATTTCAGGAGTCTGCGGGCTGCCTCAAGTCAGTCCCCAGGCCTCCGGTTAGAAACCCCTGCTCCATGTCATAAATTCCTTGTGGCAGAGGCGCCAACTCACTCCGTAGTAACTAAATGATAAATACGTTATTTACCAGCAGTAAGTTGAGATGCTGATATCCACCATACTACTGGTCAGGTTTTTCTGTTTATTTGTTTGTTTGTTTTTTACTACAGCCTCTGAAAATTATTCATGATTCCAAATAAAAAATTCTACAAACTCAGAGGAAAGAAAGAAACGGCGTATGTTCTAGCTGGGCTGCTTCTGACTTCCGTCCACCTCCCCGATCTTAGGAGCGTCACGGCAGGACTGTCCTCTACCTTGTATTTCCGGAACGCCGTCTGGACGAGCCTGGCCGCTTCGTAGAGCTCTCTCTGCTCGTGGTCAGACAGGGTTAGCTGAGCGAGCTCATTCTCCACCTTCTCACTGGTCGACGCGCTCAGGAACTCTGACCAGTCGGCCGCGGAGGGCAGGCTCGGTCTCTCGAAAGCCATCTCGCTGACCGGAGAGCCTCCGGGGCTCAAGCTGGTATTGGAAGAAGGGGTCAGAGGCTCGTTGTACGCGCTCCTGAAGCGAGAGGAGACACGGGCGGCAGACTGGTGACTGATCTGCCCGGTCCGTCACATGCTGACTTAGGAGACGAGACGGCGGCCACCAGGAGCCATTGTGGACTGTCAGGAATACGCCCCTGGTCGGTCGGCTAAGTCACTAAACGTGCCCGACCTGAATCGTCCTCCAGCCAGTAAGTGCACGCTGAGCACTTGTGACGAGTTTAGTGCTATGCGAAGTGCTAACCCCACGAAGTACACTGCCCTCTCTGCTCTAATGAAACTTCGACTGCATTTGGGGAAAAATCGTATGATACATCATCTCACGTGCTCCGATTCGGGGAGAAAAGCCATGGAAGAGGTGAGGACATAGCGGGTCTTACAAGTGACAATGGAGCTTGTCCTAATGCCTCCCCCGCTCGCTAATAAGGTCCTGCCGACTCAGCACCCCTCCAACTAGGCCAATGGGTCACCCACGCTGCCACTTAAACCCCGCGTAGACTGACCTGATCTGGACGGCACTTGGCAGATGGTCGACATCGGCCAGGTAACTGGCCAGCCAGCTCATTGTACCGCTAATAGTGGCCGTATCTGTTTTCTCCAGGGTTGAGGACTCCATGGGCACGAAACTCTCCTGCTTGATTCGGTCTGGCGTGGCTTCAATGATGTGTTCTGCCAGCGTCATCATGTTTACCTGGAAGCCGGCGTTCACAAGACACGGGTTAGAAGGGAAGCTCCGACATTAGCCAGGCCTACCTCCCCTCCCTGACCTTGGAGGAAAAAAAACAGGGCGGTGGGGGGTGGACACCTCAGTCCGGTTCACTCCATGTCGTCAGGTTTTACACAGTTCACCCGAATGTGCTGAGACCTGATCTCCAAAGCACAGTTTGGCCAAAGACCTTTAGTCACGACTTACAGCACTTCCGGCTTGTGCCCACTCTCTACTGTCACCTAGAATCAACCACTTAATGATGCCACGACTAGGCAATTCTATAATAAGTTGTCATAGTAACATGGTGACACTACTGGTTACCTAACCAATACCTCCCCGCCCCCGGCCCTGCCATTGTGCCTGGCCTAGAGAACCCATTTCATGGAGAGAAGAAATGAGCCAAACCCCAGGGGACAGCTCGTGTGTGACAAGACAATCATGATAAACCCTGTCTGGGCTTTCCGCCCTCCTGTGCACAGAGGGAGACTGTGACCCGCTTCTGGACAATGAGACAGAAGACCCACTTCTGGAAGACTGCCAGGAGGGCCTGAGGCAGAGACGCTGCTCTCCCCACGAAGGGTACCAGTGTGCCTGGCCCTCCCGCCCTCCTCCTGCCTGACTGACCGCGGACAAGCTCGCAGTCACACTGTGATGACCGCAAAGCGCCAAGCACAAAGAGGAGGGCCAACAAGAACAGAACACCCAGAAAAAAGTCTGGGGCCCTGATGGCATCACTGAGCAACTGAACCTGTGGACTGCTTGTCATGTGAGAAAAATACATTGTTTTTTCAAATCAAACTGCCGCAGTCAAGTGATACTTGCGCCCAACACATTCCTGACAGATGCAGTTAGGAACCCTTAAGATGCATGTGGAGTGAGGTGCACGTTATCGGAACCAGAGACGTGGCCTCGTTCCAAAACCGTCCTCACACATCTCCTGATAACAGAGATTGCAATATGGCAGTTTAAGTTTCTAAGTGAACCGAAAATGTTCTGGAAGGGTCTATACTCAGGTGACAAAACGCTTATCTTACGACATGGATGAATCTCAAAAACTTTATGCTAAGTGGAAGAAGCCACACACAGAAGACTACATCATTTATGATTCCTTTTCCATGAAATTTCTAGGAAAAGCAAAACTCTGGGGAGAGAAATCAGGTTGGTGGTTGCCCGGGACTAAGATGGGAGCAGAGATGGACTGCGATGGCCCAGCGGGGTTTTGGGGGGTGATGGAAGGGTTCTAAGTGGAATCGTGGGGATGGCTGCACAGCTGTATCCATGTGAAAAATGCACCACGCTGAACACGTGAAACAGGTGCATGTCCTGGGATGTAACTTAAATCTCGACAAAGCTGTTGAAAACACGAGTAATTTTCTAAATTTTCAACACAGAACAAGAATTATTTTTGTAACAGGAATACAAAACAAAAACGTTTAGAGAAAAAATATCTCAGCTTTTTTTTCTTCACTATTGGCTCCCTTGGTTTGTAACTCAAACAGTAGGAAGTACGTCCTATCTTGATTTTTTTTTCCCCCAGGAAAATATTAAAATAGTTTATTAAAAGCAAAGTGGAAATTCTGGAGCCTGAAGAATCTGGAGACTGACTCCATAGTCACCCCCCAAATTCTCTGTTTTTATAAACACCTATCAGTAAAAGAACATCTTAACATCGTAAGTGCAAAACTCTGGAATACTAAGTAGCTGATTTTTTTATTGTAATGGCTACAAAAGCAATGAAATTTAAATAAGTTTAAACCAAATAATAATATTCTAAGCAGCTGGACCTAAAAAATCATGTCCTTCATTTCTAAATTTCTTGGATTACAGTCAGAGAAGATAGCCTTTAAATGTATAGCTTTGGGTTCTTATTTAAATTCTCTTGGTGTCCTGGTATATGAGCAATATTCATATACATGTCTTGAATATATAAAAAACCAATTATATATATTTACTAGGTATATTAATTACATATATCTGCATAACTATATATATTATGTATTGAACATATCATTTATAGTAAATCTACATTAAGCCAAGCTTTATAATTACTGGTTCAATTTTTTTCATATCTTTTCATATTTACTTGATCCAACAAATTCTGAGATGGTTGTGTTAGTCTCACATTGTCATTATAGTTGTGGCTCCACATTTTACATTTACTAGTTTTTGCCTCCATATTTAAGAGTTAGGTTGTTAGGTACACAATGGTTCGTGACTGATCCTCAGTACATTATATACATATGTACTTATTATATCTATGTACTATTTGCCTTGAAGTGTACTTTTTGTCTCTTTTTCTTTATACATATTTGTCTTTTATCTTTCCCCATCGCTTCGTTTTCTCGTTTCATTTCATTTTAGTTGTCTTTTGCATGCAACATATAGTGTATTTTGCTTTTTTTCACCCAATCTGAGAATCTTCTAATAGAGTTATCAGTCATCAAAGCAGGAAGGAATTGGAAAATATTCCTATACTATGTTTTCTGTTTTCTATTACTGTTGTTATTTTGTTACTGTTCCTGAATTTTTTCCAAATGGGGCAAATTTTTTCTTCTTCGGTGGCACAAAAGTTCTATGGCCTGTTTCTATGCTACCTATTAACCTGACATTTCTAAGAAGCATATTTCAGCCCACACGTATCTGTCAATCTCACGGGAACAAACCCTGTTATCTCTTGAGCAGAAGAACTGCTTTAAAACCCTTCTACCTTCTTCACTTCCTGACCTCTCTGGTTTCGATTAAAGAATTCAAAATTTTAGTTCTAGGTTATTTTTTACACATTATTCCTCTTCTATTTAAAGAACTCCCTCTTAATAACTGCCTTATACATACTACCACACCCTCGATAATTATTCAGACAGATCATTTTTACTGGTTTTATTGTCCATTCCTCCATGAACTCTGGCTGGCCCTTTCTTGGATTATTTCATTATTTTTCATGGTTATTTTTTCATTTGGCTAAAGTGCTTCTTTAGACTGCCGCTTTTTTCATAGATGTGTCCTCGATTTAGCAAAATGTTATTATTGTCTCAAGGCTCGGTGAAAATATAAAATGGATTTTTAAAGGTTATTTTCTAGTCTAGGCAACGACTCTGTTGCAGTGACGGATAACTGCTACAAAGCTGCGATGTCGCGTGGACGTTTAAACTTCATTAAACTCAGATAAAATGAGGAATTCCGTTCCTGAGTCACGCCGGCTGCGTTCCGGGTGCCCAGCACCACGTGTGACTCGTGGCCGCACTGCCGGACCGTGCAGGTGTGGGACACCTCTGCCCCCGCGGGAAGCTCCAGCGGACAGCACTCTTCGAGATGCTTGACTTGGTTCCTCCTCTTTAGAGCTGATTTTCATAGTCTGGTGATGTATGACTATGTTTATGTTTATAAATATTGTTCTAGGTGGCTTACGACTGGTATCTGGTACGGGTTCCATCAGGAACCGGTAAACTGTGGTGGCCACGTCCAGCCAGCAACCTGTTTGTGTAAATAAAGTCTGACTGGCACGTAGCCGCAGCCATTCATTTACTGTTCCCTGAGGCTGCTTGTGTGCTGTAGAGGCCGACTGAGCAGTCATGACAAGGTCTGCACGGCCCACAAGGCCTAGACTATTTACTATTCGGTCCTTTACAGAAGACGTGTACCCATCCTTGTATAAAATAGCATCTGATTTCCCAGCCTGCCCCCCGGCCCCCTGTCCC